TAAGTCAATCTATGAATTTATAGGTTATTGGTAAAAAAAATCACATAAATCATAGAGAGAAGAGGAGACTTTAACGGGTGGTGTGACAGAAGGAAAAAAAATTTTTACTTGCATAGGTAGGGAAACACATTTAGCATAAATGATACATATTGAAACACGATAATAAAATATAACAAAAAAATGAGGGACCAAACATGAATGAGATATAGCAAAATCCTTGATATTATGGATTTGATTAACACAGTAGTTGACTCCAAAATGTAATAAAGGTTGGGAGTTAAAGTCTCCCAAACTCCCATTTTGGAATCAACTACTGTGTTAATCAAATCCATAATATCAAAGAGTGTTTTGCTATAATCTCATTCATGTTTAGTCCCTCATCTTTTCGGATTATTTTATGATCCTGTTTCAATCTGTGTCATTTTCTCATTTATGCTATATGTGTTTCTCTACTTATTCAAGTAACAAAATTATTTTGGGAGACTTTGACGGGTGGTTTGAAGTGAAATATTCTCAGATACATGATGTATCAGTACCCACTAGTAGATGAACAAGTCACAGAGAAAGCTCGAGAGATAAGATAGTAAAAAAGCAAAACATTACTCAGTTGACATGTACTCAACTTAGAAGAAACCATAATCACAAGGAATGTCGAGAGTACGACACTTTAACAAGTGATAGTAGCTGACATTCCTACAATAACGTGATGTCAGCAGCCGAGTTTATTGTAGACGAGAGTCGTGCCGCCGTTACCACACGGCAATTTGCTCCGATTCGGGACGAGGCAAGGCCACCCGTGTAAATACGTTAATTGTCGTTAATTTGGTAGTAATTAACCCCGGAGCGTCGCAAGAAGGGTGACATTTCCCCGGCCTTGAGCGAGATAAGGGTCACAGCTCCTGATGATTGCCCTGAATGTCAGGGGCTGGGGATGAGTTGCTTCACCTACTTCTCCCACGACCTAACAAGCTCTTAGTGTTTCTACAAGAACTGAGGCTGTAATGGGTAATGGGTTGGACGACGATTCAACTCAAGTTGTCATCTAAATGATGAAATGTTTCAGGAGAAATCAAGTGTTATTAGATCAACTTTTACGTTCATACAGTGCCAGAGTAAAAAAGATTTACAATAAGAAGAAGTTTGCACTTTGTTCTACACCCGATAAAAATAGCATTGGCTGGATACCTGTCAATAGAGGGAATACAACGTTTTTGTGATATCATTTAAAACCCATTAAATTGAATAAAGAAGTTTGTAAAATTGTATTAAGGTACGTCCATAAACATGCAATCAACATCAATAAATTTTTCTTCACGACAAAATTACGCCATACACCTTTGTTTAGTAAGTAACAATTTTCATAGTTCGATCTTCAGATTTTTTTTATATCAAAAAAATGCCAATAAAACGTTATTAAAAACAAAACAAAAACTAATATAGGTCAAAAAGTTAAATTGATATTACATGGGTAGTTTCAATTTTTAATCGATGTGTGCATTTATGTGTTTTATCTTTTTACCGGTAAACAATAAGAACTTTCAGCTTAATTTGAGATGAAAGTGTGCGGATACTTGAGACAAAGTAAACCACTCCTTGTCTTTACTGTTCAGAAAAAATCGAAGGATCGGATAAAATATTACACAGATTTAAGTAAGTCCCGATGGTGTGAAGATGGAGAGGATAAGGAGTTGAGCTATTATTGCCTGTACGGGTTTCTAAAAACATGTAACAAGGTATGGTAATTTAACTCTCAGTTTAGTTTCTTAGTCTAGATGTTCCAAAGGTAAATAAATACCATTCGCGCTAAATATAGTTTAACTGCCCCAAAAGAAATTATTTTAAAATTTCTTGAGTTACGCGAACCACTAGAATAGTACGTCATAACGAATATTTTGTATGTTACTCAAATATATTTCACCCGCACTTATGGAAAGAGATTAGAAAACCCTATCAACTATACTCCCCGCAAACTTTCGTGGCGGCTGAGGGATTAGGACGGCCGGGTGGTGGCCCGGCCCCTAATTAGCCCTCGCTCGGCTGCACTGGGTTTTGACCATGAGTCAGGCACTAGGCGTAATGCATAGTTGATAGAGTTTTTGTATATCACTAAAAAAGTGTATTAAATAACGTAATTTTTGTAACCTGCATCAAATAACAAGAACATTGAGCCCAAACACGAAATAATTACGATGATTTTAAGTATATACTTGGTTTTAAAATAAGAGACAGTTTTTAGAACAAGGTATATATTTAGGGTTACTGTATTTACAAACTATTTACACTACTGTTCACTAACTATTAACAGTGCACCGATATTAACCTATATGCAATTTACAATTATGTACGGTACAGTGTCCAAATCACGCCGGAGATGAATGTGAAACAAAAGGATAATTATTGCGATATTATTAAATACAGGCCTACACTTTGTTTTAGTATAAAATTATAGAATAAATTATATACATTTTAGACAATTTAATAATATTCACAATACTGTTCAAAATCCATTTTTTTTTTTTTTTATAAGTAGATTTCCAATTTAAGCAATACTAACTAATACTTTGATGTCACGATATCACAATAAAAAGACCATATTCATGTCCCATAGCCCTAAACAGCGACCAAGTGGACAAATTAACACTTTAAATTACTTAACCGTCATGCAGAAATGCAATTTCCTTCGAGAGGAAACACAACCGCAGAGCGCAGAGCGCAGAGCAGCAAGCTACAAGATGAGTCAATGTCAGGAGCGGGAGTCAACAAGCCTCTGCGCAACCCGACCGCAGACAAATTTGGACCCACGTAATCCCGGGTCTGATTCCGGGGTCGTAGTCACTGGTGATCACTGATAGTGAAAGTGATAGGTCCAGCACGCGAGCAACATCTACACGAGGCTGGTCTAATCACACCCTTCGGTGACAATGAATCAATAGGCTACTGAGCAGGAGAGTACCACACGAATAATGCAATAGGCCTTGCAGCAAACCTGGTGACTTATACAATGCCATGTTTATTGAGTGTTAAAAAAAATGTTCCCGGTCAAAATAAATTTGCTCTCTGACCCACACCCGATGTTAAATAACATTGGCTCAACTAATAGTTACTTGGTTTGCTGCCAATAGAGGGTAAACAATGTTCTTGTGATTTAATAAAATAAAAAAATTAAATAAAACATTAAATTGGATTAAGGAGTTTGCAAAATTTTATGAAGGTTCATCAGTAAACAAGTAATCTACAACAATAAATGTATTCTTCACGACAGTAAAATTGAAATAATGTACAGTGGTACGACTTGTAATACTGCAATAACACGTATGATGAAAGACGTATACTGAATCGTTTATTTTTATGAAAATTTGTTGGTTATATATTATGAATATTATTAACATAAAGAACGGATAAAATAACATATTTTTATTCATGTATTATTGGGAACAAAACCAATTTCTTAAGATAAGATAGGGCTAGTTTACCTTAATAATTCTTGATTCCAATTAAACCGGAAAATGTTTGACGAGATTAATTACAACGGACATAGATTACAAAACAATCAACATTCCCTATAACTAAAAAAAAATACATAGTCCGAACAGCCGATCTAACCTTAAATTATTTTAGTAAAATCTTTTAGTCGTACTATGTTTGCAAGTTGTTTTGTTTGAGCTGTAAACATATAATAAATCGAATTAATATTTCGAATCATATAATTCTCGTCCGTACCCTTCACTAGATGATATTTCCACTTGCCTAAACAAAGATAAAAAAACGGTTACTGTAATGAAAATGAAACTGAATAAAACTTGATATTTAAATTGTTATATGAAAAAGGAGGGATAGTATTTGTCTTCTCAGTATCTGATTATACTTGAGGAAACTATTCAATTACCAAAATAAGTATCAATGTCATGACTGAATGACTGGAATAAATTAAAGCCATGATACAAACAACAACTTTAATTTTTGAGTAGTTCAGATAAAAGTCCATTGTTTTAGTAGATTTATTATAGCTACTTATTCGTCGTAGTTTAGTACGAATAAGCTCGAACGAAGATTATCAATGTTTACTTTAATTGTTGGCTTACTCAAATACTACAAATACAAAAACTTTATATCAAAGAGTTAATGCATTATTCTCGATTAAAAGAAACCAGTTACTCATATAGGAACGATTTACTGAATTGTAAAATTGTATTTGCTCAAAGGGAAATCCCTAATTAATTAATTATACAGTATTATTCCAGAAACTTAAACATATCCTGTGGCCATATGGCAACCTAATAGTTACCTACCTACTAATAATAGCATGTCTTGTTATTTGTTTTCATTCTCTTCAGATACCAGAAGTTAGGGTTGGGTCAGAAGATAAAAAATATGATTTTATTGAGACAATATTGTGATTCAGTGGACCTTTAGTTGTCTGCATTTAACCTTTATTGTGGTGATTGTGTTTATGCAGCGACGCCTACGTGTGTTTCAATGCCACTAGTGGGCTGACATAACAATGACACTTAAATCCGAACTGTCACAACGGATATATCTAACTTGTGATAAAATGTGCACTTTACACCCAGTGAATTTAAATTATACAATGCATTTTCTTCACTATTTGCCATAGAACTAATTTTAATAATCTTTTTAGAACATCTATAGTTGACATAATTAGTGTTTATTGACGAGTTTTGTTTGTAAAAGGTTTAGTAAATAAATAGTTTATATTTGAATGAGTATCAAAACACACTGATTTATTAAAACTTGTTTCAAGCACGATTGGTAAAAAAACTATTTTGTTTACAAAAATCTCGTTATTTTATGTTATGAATTTACTTAAATTTTTGTTGGATATCTTAGTAGTAATTGTTGCATAGTAGAATTTAAAACGTGATACATTTATTGAAATTTTTTGATATTTTTACTATTTTATTTAAGTTGTATTTTTACCTTTATAAGTTGAAAAAATTTTGAATGAGTAAGGTAAACAAATGTAATAAAATAGTACACACCTTGTGTGATGCGGTATCCGGACTGGCGGCACGACGCACACTCACTGCAGAACTCCTGACTGCCAGCGCTCACTGGATATATACCCCGGGTGACGTCACGTAACGGTACAGGCCCCGCGACCGCCACCACCACCACCACCACCACCACCACCGACGACCAGCGCCACCCCTAGCTACAGGGGTGGAGGGTCTCTGGGTATTAACTTTATATGACGTAACGTAGACTAAACGCTAACAACCACCACCTTAACTGACCTCCACCACCCGACCGCCACCACCACCACCACCAGAACCACCACCACCGACGACCAGCGCCACCCCTAGCTACATCAGGGTTGGAGGGTCTCTGGATATTAACTTTGTATGATGTAACGTAGATTAAACGTTGACAACCATCACCTTAACTGACCACCACCACCACCAGAAACACAACCGACGACCAGCGCCACCCCTAGCTACGTCAGGGGTGGAGGGTCCCTGGATATTAACTTTGTATGATGTAACGTAGATTAAACGTTGACAACCATCACCTTAACTGACCACCACCACCACCAGAAACACCACCGACGACCAGCGCCACCCCTAGCTACGTCAGGGGTGGAGGGTCCCTGGATATTAACTTTGTATGATGTAACGTAGATTAAACGTTGACAACCATCACCTTAACTGACCACCACCACCACCAGAAACACCACCGACGACCAGCGCCACCCCTAGCTACGTCAGGGGTGGAGGGTCTCTGGATATTAACTTTGTATGATGTAACGTAGATTAAACGTTGACAACCATCACCTTAACTGACCACCACCACCACCAGAACCACCACCACCGACGACCAGCGCCACCCCTAGCTACGTTAGGGGTGGAGGGTCTCTGGATATTAACTTTATATGACGTAACGTAGATTAAACGTTGACAACCATCACCTTAACTGACCACCACCACCACCAGAAACACCACCGACGACCAGCGCCGCCCCTAGCTACGTCAGGGTTGGAGGGTCTCTGGATATTAACTTTGTATGATGTAACGTAGATTAAACGTTGACAACCATCACCTTAACTGACCACCACCACCACCAGAACCACCACCACCGACGACCAGCGCCACCCCTAGCTACGTTAGGGGTGGAGGGTCTCTGGATATTAACTTTATATGACGTAACGTAGACTAAACGCTAACAACCACCACCTTAACTGACCTCCACCACCCGACCGCCACCACCACCACCACCAGAACCACCACCACCGACGACCAGCGCCACCCCTAGCTACATCAGGGTTGGAGGGTCTCTGGATATTAACTTTGTATGATGTAACGTAGATTAAACGTTGACAACCATCACCTTAACTGACCACCACCACCACCAGAAACACCACCGACGACCAGCGCCACCCCTAGCTACGTCAGGGTTGGAGGGTCTCTGGATATTAACTTTGTATGATGTAACGTAGATTAAACGTTGACAACCATCACCTTAACTGACCACCACCACCACCAGAAACACCACCGACGACCAGCGCCACCCCTAGCTACGTCAGGGGTGGAGGGTCCCTGGATATTAACTTTGTATGATGTAACGTAGACTAAACGTTAACAACCACCTTAACTGACCTCCACCACCCGACCGCCACATCCACCACCAGAACCACCACTATCGACCACCAGTGCCACCCCTAGCTACGTTAGGGGTAGAGGGTCTCTGGATATTAACTTTGTATTATGTAACGTACATTAAACGTTGACAACCACTAAACTGACCTCCACCACCCTACCGCCACATCCACCACCAGAACCACCACCACCGACGACCAGCGCCACCCCTAGCTACGTTAGGGGTAGAGGGTCTCTGGATATTAACTTTGTATTATGTAACGTACATTAAACGTTGACAACCACTAAACTGACCTCCACCACCCTACCGCCACATCCACCACCAGAACCACCACCACCGACGACCAGCGCCACCCCTAGCTACGTTAGGGGTAGAGGATCTCTGGATATTAACTTTGTATGATGTAACGTAGATTAAACGTTGAAAACCACCACCTTAACTGACCTCATACCCCTAGCTACTTTAGATAAAGGGTTATCATAGAAGGTGGGGGTTCCCTAAACATTTACATAGTAGGTATTACATACAGACATAACCCCATTGATCTATATTACATCCACTAACATTGATACATTGACACCACCATCCCATTAAGGATAAACAATTAGGAAATTTCAATAATTATTTCTAGTGACGTCAAGTACGGACATTGATCCGTTGATCAAACCCATGACTGGATACTTCACCTCTTGATACTTTAGGATAACTAGTTAAGATATATAAATAATCACCTAATGATCGTTATGTATAGAAATCAACAAGGTATCTCGACTACTACCATAGCCGCAGATGAAGTGTCAGGGTGAATTTCCCTTAGTTCATTTTTATGGGTAATCTTATCAGAGATGACTATGCTTGAAGTAAAGAGGATCGCTGAAAATATAAAGGATTACCTTGGTATCACAACCATGTTTCGATGGTTGAATGAACTTTAGGGGTCGTTGCCCCTGGGGTAGGTGTTCAGTAACAGTGAACACTATAAATATAGTAAAAGCCGGCGGTTCTACTTTAAGCCAATGAAGTAATTTTACATCAGCCCTATGTAGTTATTCTAATTGTTACTTCTTAAAATATTTCTTACTAAAATACTAATTTCTTACTAAAATATACTATTGTTTGTATACACTCCGATTTTATTTAATGGCAATGTTGGTTAGTATTTGCTTTATTAGTGTGAAAATCACTATATAACCGTTATGTTTTAATGTTATTAATGTATTTCTACGACAATTTACCATAAAACATAAATCCATGGTTTATACTTTTTAACCTAAATTATATTAACCCTGTAGTATAACATTAACATAAATGACAAATTTTGAATATTTCTGTAGACATAACTGTAAATTTATTATTTATCATAATGTGTATTAGTTTTTTAACTATTGGGTCCTTAAAGATTGTTTTGTATTTTTTATAAATTATAACTTTTAAAGTAGGTTTCATTCATAATAATCATATTGCATTAAAATGTGAGCTAATAAAAACAAAATTTTATTCGTAGGTTTGTTTAGTAAAAGGGTGTATATGAGTAATACATTATCAGGAACAATATTTAAATTCACTTAAAACATTCTATTATGCATGACCAATTATTGAACAATTATTTTATGAATTCAATTCGGGCTTATGAATTTCAACTTCGTTCCATGAAAAGGGGGTTTTTAATGATTCACCATCTTTACGTGTGTTGATTATGGTGTTGTGTTTATTAACAGATGAACGTATCTAAAAAAAAGGATAACTGCATGATTTCTAGGGTTAGTGATTTTTTCTAAACCGTCAGATACCTCAGCACCTTTGTGGATATGGGAAAAACGTCATGATTATACATTTCAAAAGTTAGGCTATTTACTAACATCACCTCGAACACAGAGTACTATGCTATTGAAAAGACAGCCACTGTGCAGTGTGATGCGAGCCAGTTTGGATAGGAAGCATCCTTCATGGATGATGGTAGGCCAGTTGTATGCATTTCCAGGAGTATCAGCAAGCGAAAAAGAATGATTTGTCAATTGTCTTATAATGAAAAAGAACAAATTATTTGATTATAAATTACTCCATATGTGTCATAGTGGAATTAGAATGGTTTTAACTAAAACCATCTGAAAATAAACGAAAACGGAAAAATCTGATTTGATACAAAACATATTAATAAATAAACTGCCATAAACTACATCTAAAAAAAAAAATAAAAAAATAAAAAAATAGTACAATATAAAATAATTCCGTTACTGTGTGTTTCGCGTAAAACTACATTGACATAATGTGACAGAACCCATTCTCATGTTTAAAGTAAATTAATTTCCAAATGTAAATCACCAATATTGCATAAAATATATGATCTAATTATAAATACACATTTTTCTAGTCAGCCAAGATAAATACAAGAAGGAAGTTAATATTTTTTAAGAAATGCTAAAATGAAAGGGAAATCATTGAGGATTCATCCAATGGTACTTTGGTATTATACCAACCACACCGATAAATCGAGTTCCAAATAAGATGTTAATTAATTAAAATAACAAAATCTCCCTACCATAAACTAAATCATAGTCCACCCTTAGGTTAGGTTAGGTTAGGTTTATTAAGTGTGGTCGGTATAAAACCAAAGTACCCACCCGCTTATATAATATAATATGTATAATATATCAATCCCAGGAGATATATCGTTATACGCAGGTTGGTTTTGTATCAAACAATTTGAGATGTTTTGTAGTGAGTTCGCTCTTTGGAACACTGGTCTCGTAAGTGAACCCAAGTGAGCGTTACCCTCCAACTCGGCGGAACGAGAACGAGAGCCTACTACAACGTTGATATTTAAAATAAATAATATAAGGAAATGGGTTGCATTACAAAGATTAGATATATAAAAATTTGTAGACATATTTATTTTTATAAGAAAATTTAATTCCAAATTTAATTCCATCCATTGCTTGTGTATGTGTGTCAATTCATAGCGTAATTCCTAATTTAACGACTGATTTGGTCTATTTGGAAAGATTTTAAATCGTAGAAAAGACTGGAACAATATTGATATCTGACATATTATTTTTAAGTTGCGGTAGCTTGGCTGGATAAGAAAATGACAATTTTTGATTGGAGTAAAAAATGTCTATAACTTGACGGAAGAGAAAATTTTGCTTTGCGGCAGCTAGATTTTTAACCAAGGTACAACAGCGAATTGTGTTTTGATTTGGTTTGCTAAATTGTAAAAATCATAGTTTCGTTATAAACAGGGTGACGTACGTTAATCATAATGTAAATCGGTTTTTGTAAAAAATATCAAAACATAAAGTTTGTCCTATTATATGATAGTATTTCAAGGAAAAAATACATGGCCTAATAAATAATATATATTTCACTCTACGATTGATATATTCCTACCAAGGAAGCGTTCTCAGACACAAACTCCTTTGTAAAACAAGTTTTTTCATTGATAT